CGCTTAATTTTTTTATTAACTGCATTTACATAATTTCATAATACGGATGCCGACATCTCGGTCAGTATTATCAATAGGTTTTCTTTTCTTTCTGTTTTGAAAATGTGTTTGTTATTTTAGTTTGTGATTACTGACTGGCCTGGATTTTGAGAGTTAATGGTGTTTATTTGAGATTATAGAGTCATGATATGATTAATTTCAGTGGACAGACTTGGAAATACAGGGACTTGGTCACTTGTGTCATTCGTACAGGGCTCTAACTGGAAACTAAGTTTTTGAACAGGGGCCGTCGGTTTTACCAAGACTTACCAAAGTACTGGCGTAATTGTGTTTCCTTAACAATGCGTTCAGTTTAAGATCACTACCTCCTTCTTGGCTATCTTTATAGTTGTTTAATGCCTTGCTCCTTGGCCCACACTGGACAGATATGTCTGTCCCAAGCACTATGGTTTTAGCGTTACACAGAATGCATTTGAGGACCGAACAATTACCTCGTCACTTCGTTTCGCCACATTTCGCACACCATTCCTAAGACTTACATGCAAAAGCAGTATACTACAATTGAAACATTGCCGTATCTTGGGTTCAAAATGAAAGAACATATTTCAAAAAGGAAAACCTTCTCCAGTCTGCACCGTCGAAGTAAGTCACTCGCAGAGTAAAAATTGTTTCAGTATTTACTTAACATTTAGAATTTGAATGAAATTTTGTTCCTCTTATCCATACCCATCTAGATGCAAAAAAATGATTGAAATCGAACCAAATAGTAATCAAAATTGATTAATTAAATCGAGATTGCACACCACATGCAGAAAATCAGCTGTTTTCACTAATAAGCCACAAAACCGCTAGGGACGCTATAGGTTAGTTGGCGCTATAGGCTAGGTGTCGCTATAAAGAAGAAGATAGGATGATCTAGGTGGCGCTATAGGCTAGGTGTGATAGGGAAAAAAGCAGGGTTGTATTAAGCATATCTCCATCCTGCTAGCACTCCCCTAAGCTGAGTAACGGATATCTAATAGTCGAGGCCAGCGACTTCGGTTTCTCTTGTTTTATCTGCCTCAGTTGGAATCAAATTGAACTTGATACTATCAGAGTCAGTTGCATCTCTTTCACGCCTTATCGAACGCTCAAGTCGAATGATATTTACTGCTGCATTAAGTATCTCAAGGACTTCTTGTTCACAAAAATGTATGAAGATACCCCTTATGATAACCAACGATTCAAAAAAGTTCTACGGTATAAAGGCATTGATGTTCATTTTCTTTAACTCGGCATTTAATACAAGATTATTTGCATCACCGGCATTCTGAAAATATATGTTATACGAAGTTGCCGCAAGTGGGGTTGGGGAGAATGATGGAAGTCATTCTCCCTTGGCTTTCATTTCACATAAAAAGAAAAACAAAAAAGAGTTCTACCTTCAAGCACACCCATTTTTGGAGAGAATTATCCACTGAGCGATAGCAAAACACGACCGCGAGCGAGCTAAAACGAAAGTGCTTGCTAGCTTGTATAGTTTCCGAGATCACAGCGTTCATGCGGACGACAAATCTAATATACGCTTTTACTCTAAGAGTAACGGGTATAATTATAGAGTTTTATTATAACTGTAAAACATCTACTTAAGAAAACTGAAAACTGAAGAATAACGATATAGCTTGATATAGATTCTTTTCAGATTATCCACCTCAAGTGAAGCTACGCCACCCTGCTGGATTTGATACTATCCCAGAAATCTATACATTTTCGTGGTACTACTGTATATATCCCCTTAAGCTATCTCAGAAGAAATGCGCCCGTTGCCTTAAGTATTTTAATTTAAATTTCACTTGAAAATATGAACTGCTTAACGACATTGCCTCCAGGAATTAAACGACCTTTTTGAACAGAAAGCTTTTCTTTTTAGTTAGTAAGTAAACATTTCAAATATCATTCCTGTGAGCTGGGAGATCTTTCGCCTCATGTTTTTGCTTTAGCTGAAGCAGCTTTTACCAGTATCGTCGATGACCATACAAATCAGGTAAGTTAGTAGAATTATTCCATTGTTTCCGACAGACATGTTCTCATGTTTGTTGGTTTGTCTTTCTTCTCCCGTCCTACAGTGGTGCGGGGAAGCCGAAAGTGTGACAGACGGTCAGACAGACGGACATTGCTAGATCTTTACCTTATGGGTTATGGATTTTTTTTTAATCAATCGATAGGTGTTGACGAAATTATTATATATCAGCTAAAAGTGGGCATTCCATAGTCGCGTAACAAACTTGCGCTGCGTACAATGCTAAGGAATCTAAATCTTAAGTCCCAATTCTCTAAGTTTTCGAAATACCAGCGTTCATATTTACGATTTTTAAAAATTTGTGGGATGTTTGTGGGCGCTATAGTGGGCTTGGCAACATTTTTTCAGTTCAATCGATAAGTATTGACGAGAACAATACAGTTACATTTTTTTCCAGCACTTAAGCTTTAGGAGCCACATTTTTGGCGGCTTGTGGGCGTCAGAGTGGGCGTGGCATGTTCGCATAAGAAACTTGAAACGTACGAAATTAAGGAATCGAGTTACGGGTATGAAAAGAGTCGAGAAAACCGATTCAAGCTTACCACAAGTGTATCTGGTCATGAAATCTTACAGAGATATAGCTATTTCTACTAGATAACTATTAGTTAATTAGCTATTGTAACGAACTATTTTTGTTGGCCTGCTCGCTACGAGATTCGTGCGGTTAGCTCAGTAGATTGTGTATTCCTCCCACAAAAATTATATGACGTGACTGCCCGTAGATCAGTGAGAAAGCACAGAATTCAGAGGATAACTTTGAGTTTATATTCGTTTTACTTATTACATCGGTGGGTGGCTCAGTTGGTCACGGTGTTGTTTCGCGCTGATTCCAATGGCTGTTGATACGGCTCGTTTTGTCTCGTCGAAGCGTTGACTCGGTGATCGCTGACTTCGGATGCGGTGTGCCGCTGGACTCGTGGCCGCATGTCGCGCCTTGGACGCGCAGAGAAATCGGCCTTGCTGGCTAAGGGAAGAGTCACCGTTCTCAGAATAGGGTGAACAGGTGCCTCGCTCCCCAGAGCAACGCCTTTCGAGACAATGACCGCCTGTCCCTTGCTCTGTCCCGGACGTTCCCACAGTTCGCGCTGACAGTCAAGGCTAACGCCAGAAGCTGCCTAGCGGTTTACTTTGCTTTACGCCTAGCGCAGACGAACGTTCCATCCCCGCCTCACCCTATTGCTTGACGTTTCTGGGCTCCTCAATAAGTTCTCCGCGGCGATCGTGATGCGGATGTCGGCGATGTCAATGTCAATGTATCGTGGTCTCTGCCTCTTGAGGTCTTGGACGATCGCCGTTCCGGGACTTGCAGAACCGTTGGGCCTCTCCAGGACAACGCACCTTAAATGCCTAACCGGTCGACTGCTCGCCCTTTTTGGCTGGTAGTGTGGTTCTCTGACACTCGGGGTTTCGGTCAGTTCCTGTTCCTGGACTTCGCCGGTAATCGCTGGGCTCTTCAGGACAACGCCTCTTAAAACCACAAATTGATAAGCCGCTTGTCCTTTGCGCCTGGTCTTGTTCAGGCGGGCAAGGCACACTGGGTCTAGAAACCTTTTCCCTCGAGTTCACGGTTGCTCGTCGTAGTACTCTACTGCTCGAAACTGACGGACATGCCGGGCGATGTGCGAGGGTGTGGTCGCGACAAAGTATGAAACAGACCGTCTTGACTTAGCCGTGTGATGCCCTCTGGACCTCAGCTACCTGTGTCTCAATTAGGACATTCCTCATGTCTTAATCCCGAACGTCTCGACGAAGCTATCTTGCTCCTTGCAGGCTTTCCACGGCACTCCCACCGACGACTTGACTTGTTGTTGCTCACGTGCTGCTGATTGACTTGGTTCTTGGATTTTGTTGTATTGACTTCTCGTGATCGACTGTTTCAGCTCCCAGGGCTCTGCGGCCTTATACACAACATTCGGGAACCGTTATTTCCCTTTTGCGCCCGGCCCGCTGGTATTCTCCACTCCCCAGGTCTAAGGCCCACGGATCCAGTTTGGCCTCTTTGTCCTAGACCGACGGCTACCACCTGGAGTCTGATGTCTTGGCGCTATCTGTGGCACGCAGGCGCGCCGTCCCGCTTCTAAGATGTGGCACTCCTTTTCCTGGTCCAAAGTACACGGCAGAGTCCAAAGTCCGGTGCGTCCCGTTATTTCCTTTTGCAGTCGGCACCCTCACTTTGCCATCGAAGTCTCCACTTTTTGTCTCTCTCCAACCTCCAATTCTCCAAACTCTCTTTCTCCAAGCTCTCGTTTTCCAAACTCTCTATCTCCAAACTCTCTTTCTCCAAACTATCTTTCTTCAACTTCTCTTTCTCCAAGCTCTCTTTCTCCAAATTTTCTTTCTCCAAACTCTCATCTTCGCCATGCCAATGCTAATGCGCTAATTCGCCGCGTATCTGGTAGCCGGCAGGTTACCATATATAATTGCCGCTGCAATTTGTGGGGAGGTATTCTATTCTGTACTGTTGGTAGAAAAGTTATGTTTTTGATGTTATTTGCGTTTATTGATAGATGTTAAGTGTTTATTTATTTATTTTTAACTTATTATAGCCGCATTTTAACTCATAAAATCTGCAATTGTGTTAAAGCTTGGCTTGCCGAAGTTAGCTTCCGTTCTCGTTTATATATAAAATTAAATTGGACCCATAATTTAATTGTGACTCATTCATTTCTGCCATGGAAAAAAGTCCCTTTAGTGGAGGGGCCACTAGCCCTGCTTAAACTACCCATTAAACTACTTCTTGCATCGATTTTAAGACGTTAACAATACTACCTGTACTTTCATACACTAGAGTAAGAGAGCGTCGAACCTACTAACACACAAAAAATTTCGTCAAAGTGCATTGCATAAAGTTAAAACAATAAAATAAAACTTATGATCATCTGCTGCAAAATAATAATCGACAAAATACTTATTATTGAAAAATTATACAATTTTTACTTACCTCTTTTATTTTTAATGGAATTTCTGTAATATTTCCTCGAACATTGATTTGACGAATTAGTAATACCTTTTCAAAATCACAGCGCTTCAGTCCCAAAAGGTTTGATATATAGGAAATGGCTTCTTGGTCTGAATTTGAAAAATCGCAGCCTTCTCCATCAATGTCCAAAAACTGTATATTACCTAACCACAATATCGAACTTAATACCTTAAAAACGCCATCTATTACAAATTGTGGAATTTGTAAAACCGTAAACGCCATAGTAACGGCGTCGAACTTCATTGACTCTTGGTTTATATTTATTTGTTCAGTACTCGTTATATTCAGATATTTATAAAAATCAGGTGGTCTTAAATGAAAGGCATTTGCGATATGAATATTTTTCTGCCCCTGTGCCACTAGTTGATACATTATATGATAGTTCCGTTCCCCTTCACTTTGAAATGTTATCCGAGACTGTTCAAGTAGGTAATCTTGAATAACGCATCCTTTTATACAGTTGTAGTCGTCAAAACAAACTTGCATGAATTTACCAAACCTAGAACTGTTATCGTTTCTTATGGTCTTAGCATTTCCTGTAAAGAGTGTGAAAACATAAAACTTTAAGATAGTTTAATACTATTTCAATTTTATTTTAATATTGTTAGTAACGCAATTAAATAAATATAAATATTGCCCAAAAACTATTACGAAAATGTAAACAGCTCAGTGTAAGGAAGGGATATAATTAAATAAGGTATATGGTACATACAATTTTTTCAGATTCAGCGCAAAATTGTTACCTTAATATCTCCATATCACTTATGATCCCGTTAACTGAGTAACGGGTATCTGATAGTCGAGGCAATCGACTATAGCGTTCTTTCTTGTTTTAGTTATAGTTTTAGTGTCATAATAAAAATTTTAAGGAATTTTGAGCAAGTGATTCAAAATATTATTGTATCATTTAAACATATTGTACCAAAGTAGCAAAAGGAAAGTCGCGTTTTTGCAGAGCTCCCGAAACAGTCGCTCAAAAAGTCTATAAAATCTAGAAACATTAACAATTTCTATCGGACTATAAGCCGCCTGTGGTCTATGATCATTTAGCGTTCAAGTCGTGCGTGTAATCTCCATACTTTTGTTTAAAAACACTTAAAACACATTTCTTTTGGTCGAAAGTGTAAAGATAAAAGAAAGGAAACATTCACACACATATACTGCAGTGCACAAAGACTGAAAACTACCGAAAACACACTCAAATCAATAACTTATACAATTACACAAATCACTCAAACTCAAAATTGATCAAAACAACAACAGTATGAGTGCATCAAAGCGACTAAGGAGTGAAAAGTCGAGTACCGAAATCAAGGTAGCTCGCACGTCGGACACACAATTGCTGCAACAAATTGATGCAAAATTCACGAGTCAACGGAAGGAAATCAACATGGAACTGTTGCAGCTGATCGACGATAAATTTGCGGAGCAAAGGGAATCGAGAGAGCGAGGCCCGCTTTCTCAACACTCTACAGGCTAAATTCGATGCAATGAACACCGAAATACACAACCTTACGAAACGAGTGCGAGAGCTGGAAACCGAGGCAAAAGGGGTGAATACACTGAAACAACAAGTGTGTGAACTGGATGCTCAACTGGCAGCAAAGTGCAATGCACAGGAGGTCGCGGATGTTGCATGCAACCTGCGCTGTCATGGTGTACCGCACGTCGAGGTCGAAAATTTAAACACCCTTTTCAATCGACTTTGTTTCTCACTACACCTGACCCCTCCTCCGCGAGTTAGGTCTATTTTTCGATCCGACCGCGTCAAAGAAACTCACTTGTTGACCCAATAATAATAATAAAAATGGATCACGTGCGCGAAAAAGCTGTGCTGCTGCGGGCGATTGGAGTGCACCGACAAACAACCAAATCGCAGATGAGCTTACAGCTGATCGGTTTTGACTCGCCGGCATTTATATACTTAAACGAACAATTAACGAAAACAAATTACGACATTTTTAAGCATGCCATGCGCCTCAAAAAACAAAAGCGCGTAGCGGCCGTCTTTACTCGCCGTGGAGACGTATTTGTCAAGCCTATAGACGTAGGAGAGGCTTACTACGTGCAAAGCTCCAATGAGCTTTCTGATCTGAGTAGTGATGTGGGCGAAATCAACTCAAGCAGAGATGCCGCTTTAGAGAATGATTCATTTCGTAATTAAAATATTTTTTATCTCTATATTAGGATTTCCAATTAGTTTAATATCTTTATCTCTTGTTATTCATATGTTTAGGATCAGTCGCATTGTTAATTTAGTAGTCTGCCTAATTTTTTGTCTGGTGTGCAGTCCTTGTTTTTTTATTTTTAAATTTAAAACTATTCACAATGGAAGAAAACCTCAATAATTCAACAGCAAATAGTCGTGCCCTTCTGTGCATCCTGGCAAAGCAGAAACCTGGTCTCAAGATTTTCATATAAATGCCCAAAGCCTGCCAAAGAAAATTGAAGAGTTTAGGTACATGTTTGTAAATTCGGAAATTGATGTTATATGCGTGTCTGAAACATGGTTTGTCCAGAGTCTATGTGATGTGCTAATAGCGTGTGATGGATATAATGTGTACCGTTCTGATCGTGTTAGTCATGGGGGAGGAGTTGCTATATATGTAAACAAAAAATTAAAAGCCAAAATTATTTGCCAACACACAATAAACAGTGCAATAGAATAAATTTTTCTTGATATACAAAACCCGATTATTGAGAAAAATCTGTTAATTGGCTGCATTTATCGTCCGCATTGCAACACAAACTATGATGATTTAATCAATACTCTGACAGACATTACAGTAAACTTCACTGATGCAATCCTTGCAGGCGATCTTAATAGTGATATTCTGAGGGAATCTCACCTTACCAGCAACATGGAATCGCTAGGTCTGAAACCAGTGAATCTTTCATTTCCAACCCACTTCAGCAGAACACGTAACACATTATTAGATTTGTTTTTTGTGAGTGATGTTTATAAAATATGTTTGTATGATCAGCTAATCGTTCCGTCCTTTTCAAAACATGACCTTATATACCTGACCTATAACTTTGACCTAAACTACACGGACCATACAATATTTTATCGTGATTTTAATAATATTAATTACATACTGTTGAAGCATTTGACCTGTGTGTATGGAACAATATTTACAGTCTTCCAACAGTCGATCGTCAACTTAAACTTCTACAACATAATATTAGCCACTTATACGATAGTTTTGTCCCAGTTAAAAGTAAAACAATTCGACCGTCCGAAAAACCATGGTTTACTAATAATATAAAATTGGCAATTATAAAACGAAATGAAGCATACCAGAAGTGGAAAAGATACAAAACACCGCAACACCACAGCATGTTTGTATCTCTGAGAAAAACGGTTACCAAACTAATCGACTCTGCAAAATCAAACTTTTTAGCCAAAAATTTAAAAACTCAACCTCTTCGAGTCAAACATGGAAACAGATTAAAACTCTAGGGATAGGTAAACAAAAGACATCACAGGAACTAGATGTTGACATAGATGAACTCAACCTTAAATTAGCAGAATGCCAAGTTCCTGAGGTCACAACCGACACGTACCTGAATTCAGTACCTGAAAACATCTGTGATACTAGGTTTAGATTTATGTGTGTTGACCAATGTGATGTTTTAGATAATATTCTTAAAATTAAGTCTAACGCAATTGGACCTGACGATATTCATCCTAAATTTATAAAAATTCTACTTCCTAAACTTATCCCATACCTTACGCACACATTTAACACGGCTCTTACCACGTCTACGTTCCCTGATTGCTGGAAAACCGCCAAAATTATCCCAATACCAAAATCAAACAAAGAATATCGGCCGATATCTATTCTTCCGTACCTCTCGAAGGTGTTTGAAAATATTGTCGCATCACAAATAAATAATTTTATTTCTGTCAATAGCCTCTTAAATGACCATCAATCTGGATTTATAAAAAATCGTAGCTGCACTTCAGCCATCTTAAAAATAACCGAAGATATACGTCAACAGACGCACAACTCGTATGTCACCTTCTTACTATTGCTGGACTACAGCAAAGCGCTCGACACAGTAAATCATGATATCCTGTGCTCAAAACTCAAAAATTTGTATTTCTTCTCCAATACTGCCGTCAAACTTTTGTGTTGGTATCTTAAAAATCGTCGTCAATATGTTGTATCGTCAAATATTTGTTCTTCGTTTGCCTATCTGAAGCGTGGTGTACCCCGGGGTTCGGTTCTTGGACCACTATTATTCACACTTTATATAAATGATCTTCCTTCTGTGCTGTCGAAATGTAATGTCCATTTATATGCTGATGATGTTCAGATGTATGTTAGTCGTCCCTTAAACAGAATTAGTGAGTGTTTAGATATTTGTAGAATGAAGCTTGGAAGAGTAAATTAATGGGCAAAAAACAACGGTCTAGCCATCAATCCATTGAAATCAAAGTGCTTAATCATTTTTAAGAAGAAATTATGCAATATTGAACTGTTCCCCTTGATGATTAACAAAACACCAATTGAGTACGTGGAAACCGCCAATAATTTGGGTATCACATTTAATAGAACCTTGAACTGGAATGACCACGTAAACAAAGCTGTAGGCAAAACATACGGACTAATAGATCCTTGTCACTAGTTAAATGTTCCTTACCTGTTAGTGTGCGTCTTCTAATTGCCAAGTCTTGTATAATACCCACACTATTTTATGGTCTAGAGATCTATGCAAATTGTGATGTAGCAAGTCAACATAAGCATACAACAGTATTGCGCGTTTTATGTTTAATTTGCATAGATCTGACCATGTAACTCAATTTTCTTACAAGATATTTGATATAAGCTTGGCAGATTATATGAAAAGTAGAACAATAATTTTTGTACACAAAGTTATATACACCAGGGAGCCATCGTACATATTTGAAAAATTACAATTCTCCAGATCTACAAGAACAAAGAATATTATCTGCATCCGACACAGGTTTCTGCTTTCAAGTAGACAATTTTTCATAAATGCGATTAGAACGTGGAACGAGCTTCCCAACTACATAAAAGAAACTAGGAGCGGAACACTATTTAAGACAAAACTTCTCTCACACCTAAAAAATATCAGTTCTAGTCTACTATAAGGTATATTATCCTATTTTAACATTGCGACTTATCCCCAAAACCTTTTCCTTAGTTTTTTAATTTCGATTTAACTTCATTTCTATTTATCTAAATGTTCAACAATAAATGTAACAATGTATGTCATTAGATTTAAGAACCAATTTTGTCCAAATTTAAATATGTTTACCAGTTGTGACTAGCGCTGTAATTTATAAGTTTTAAAACTTGTAGCGTTAGGAAGCCTAAAACAATAAATAATAATAATAATAATAATAAATGTTAGGACTAGCCTTGCACTTAATAAAAATAGTCAGCGTTAGTTTTAATTTTAACACCCGAGACTCGTAAAGTAATGGGCATATTAGATTTGTCAGAATGTATTTAACAGATATACGGAAGCGTTCCGACTGTAAAAAGTATATATATTCTTGATAAGGATCGCTAGCCTAGTCGCTCTAG